ATAATAGATTCAGAGAACAAAGCTTTCGATAAACTCCTTATGAAGAGAACTTACCACTTTGTAATAGGCCTTTTGCAGCTAAGCCATCACGTGACCTACTTTTTATGAAATTATGGTCTATAACTTAGCCGAATTCAGAAAAGGAAAAAGCATTTCGAAAATAACAAAACGGCAAAGTTTGAGGCCTCCATTATTCAAAAATGAGATTTGATGACACTCTGAATTTTTTAATAAGTAAGAAGGTTTATATTGGAAAAAGTTGCTGGAGAGCAAGCCTTGCTCTCCAGCAACATTTTCCATACAAATCTTCTAAATAATTTTCCGAAAGTTCAAACCGCTGTAAAAACAGTGCTCTGTAATTTCCGGGGCCCAAACTTGGCCGTATTGGTATTTTTGATATGCTCTTTCCATCTCTGGTATTCTTCAAGTTGTATCCCATAATATATATCTAAAATTGATCACGAGACCCCAGCTGCAAAAGGCCTATTAAATACCGTAGAGACAGCCATGACAGTACATTCAACCGCCTCCCAGTGAGCTCAATGGATAGAGCGCTGGACTGTTGTGGGGGAGGTCGACGGTTCGAGCCCCGGCCAGACCAACGTCTTAAAAATAATTGAGAAGAATATGCTGCCTTTCTATAACATCAAGAAATGGTTAGATAGTCTAGTCTTCTTGGATCGGGACGAATAAATGGAGGTTCCGTCTCCTGCAGGGTTAGGGGTAGGAGACGTCAATTCTTCAAGCACGAGATTACTGTCCTCCCCTGGAGTGGGTGGATTGGGATTGGTTTAGGCGGGTGAACCAAGTAGGGGGACTACGTGTCCTATTGTTCTCTCGCCTATACATTGTAGTGTAGAAATCTTTAAATGCAAATATACAAATACAAGCCCAGAGCTCCTCATGTCGGAAAACAGAGGCACTCGGTCTAGAATTCCACATTATGGGTAACATTGCGCGCTCACAGTTCTTATATCTGTGATTTTAGTAACACAAGCCGACCTCTATGATCGACATTAATAAGTTATCCAGAATAAATAAAAATATGATTAAAACCAATGGATCTATAAAAATATAATATATACATAGTATAAAATATAGTCCTAATAAAAAGCTAATCTAGAAAGATGGGTCGGGCCAGACGGAAAAATAGTTTTGGCTGTGGTTTTTTCGCGCGCGCCAGTCTATCGCGTCCTGTTAAGTTAAAAAAAAACTTTTTGGAATTTTTGAAAACTTAGTTGGGTGTCATATGATAATATGCTTATTAACTGAATTAGGTTGGGGTGGACGAGGAAATATTTGGCTCTCGTTCATGACGTACGGACCTCACTGCTCTCGGCGCGTACGTCATGACCGAGAGCCAAATATTATTTTCCCGTCCAGCCCGACCAAACTCAGTCAATAAGCATTTTGTCATATGACCACTAAGTATTTAAAATTCGTCGTATTTTTAGATGTCCTTGGGCCTTGGATTTGACTGTTTTTTGGTACCTTAGGTTCCATGAAAACTATTATGACGTATTTTACCTTAAAAATAGGTCATAATTGTTCTTACTCCCTTCAAGGACGCAAATTCGGTGTTTTCTGTGTCGATGCAGAGACTATATAACAAGCCTTTAATTGGCAGCGAGCTCTAGGAAGCATATTTTAGATCAGAGACTTGAAAAAAAACTTTGATTTTCCGAAAATGCCACGAGTCAATCTAGGGTATGCTATGTCTTTTTTTATCATCACCAGTTCCTACAAGGATGAATTATGAATGTGATGTTCTCGATAAATTGACTAAATAAGGCCACTAGTACAGTTGCAGCGTTCCAAATCATAACTGTAAATGGAAGTTCTTACCAATAAAACGTGGCTTCAAAATGGGCTCTTTGTTTTTCAAGTTCTCGAATGCTGGACCTTAGACTGCGGTAGTACGCAGCCCGTGGTACCACAGTCTACGAACAACGGGGTTTACCTGGTTCATTAAGATTGAACGAATGATCGAGGAATTTGTCTTCTGATATTTAAGAGTTTACTAAGTTCATAATTTGTTCTTTTTCAACTCTCCCAGAATACACCACGGATATGACATGGGCATGTAGCTTCCGGGACCAACATTTAGCTTCCGAGTCCAACATTTCTAGCTTTTCACTACTGGATCAAAAAAAGGATGGGATCTAGATCTATCAATCTACGAACACCAGCTGACCCTCGAGAAAATTGGCGAAAAATGGTAGGGATGAAATTTTTATGAATGATGTGTAAATTCGTGGTCTCAATCTCATTTGATAATAACTTTTTGCTCAATGAAGACATGACATTCGTTCATGATCAGAAGTTCGATTCAAGTAAGGCTTAAGCTCAAACCGTCCGTTTGATCAAAATTCGTCGCGGCTATTCTCCTACCTCAGTCAACTTAAAAATAAATAATACATTATTTTTTCACTTGGTCGTTAATGCAACCCAACAGTTTCATTAAAAACTCGTAACCCCCAGACTCAACACACACTTAACCTTATTTTTTGCTGACGTCTTGTTAGAGTTTGTCAAAGGATTATTTTCAGATGTTTCCAGTACTACTGGATAATGATTATCTTAACCATCTGCACCCATTTTACTTCTAATCTGGAAAGGCGGATTTGCCCGAAAACATAGACTGGATCAATTAATCCTTACTCCAGGAAACGAGTAAGTAATAACTGACTGTTAAGTGATAAATTCCTGTACTTTCTTCATAGTTTTTCTCAAAATCTTATTTCCATGCGGTTCACAAGGCTATATTGAGGCGCAAGGTCACAGATGTTGGCCAGTTTTTTTTTTTCCTAAGTTTTCTTCGTTGAGCATGGCGGTTGTATGAATATTTTCTCTCCTCCCTACAGTAAGGTTTTTCTTCTCTAGGGAAATTGACCCCACTAGACCCTAAAATGACATTTATTACCAAAGGGAATAAACTAATTTATGCAGCCTGCGCCGCATTTAACTTTATCCCGGATGGGTTACATCCGGGACTTATAATGGTAGATACTTAAACATCCGAACATGTGATTTCGGGTCTCTTTTTGTTAAGCTTCGGTGCAGGGCAAACATTTTTCCACCCTATTAACCCGCCCATTGTTTTCGAATATTCTCTGGGATTAGGTTTCTATTTCCGGTTTTACTGTAATTTGATTTGATATTAAAAATAAACGGCCACTTGACTGAGTGGCCAAATATTATGGCAAATAAAGGTTGTCCGTTTAATTTTCCCAGCAAACCGAGCTCACCCCTAGCTATGCACAGTGTAAAACACTTGGTTATGGGCAAGCGAGCAAGAGGCATAAAGTTAATTACAAGCAAATTCTTCTCATATTGTCCACATTACAAACCGCCAACGAATTTAATGGACAAACTTATAAGCTTAGAGGTATTAGACCAATATGTGAGAGCAAATTCTATCAAGTTATTCAAGTTTCGAAGAAACATAAAGTAGCTTGAAGGAAGAATTGCCTCTGATTTAGATCTTTGAAGTTAACTGGGCAAATCAAACATCTGTTCTTCACAGGCCCATCTAAGAAGCGAGAGAGACTACAACTGGGAGATGGCGATGCGTAGTGTGGACAGCAAACCCAACTGGCTTATAAAAACCGACAAAAAAAAAAAACACAGATCTAGTTTCATAGACATGTTCAAGAGAATGTCCATGAATTCGGTAAGCATATATTGATATCGCATCAACGCTTTTTTTTTACTGAGTGTAATGGATACCAAACCAAACAGATCACCTCGACCCAACAGAAGCAAGGGAAGGGAGACGCAAGATTTTTAGACCAAACACGGAGCGTAAAGTAAAATGAACGGATCATGCGCACACAGCAATAAATTAGAAAGAATTGTTGAAAGAATTGTATTGCAAACGCCATTCCCAGTTTTGTTACCGCATGTGCCGCAGAATGCTCATATCTGGTACATTGCTTCTATCAATGTATGGCCGGTTTTACTTGTCCACACTTTTTGCCTAAGATTCAAATTTTTTATATCACTTTCAGCCTTTCAAGGAGAATTCGAAGCAATCCGAGTTTACAATTCCAGTCATCATTATCACTGAACCGACTGTGGACATTATAGAATCATGATAAAGCTTACCTTATTCAAAGTGTACTGAAAAGATAACTTGGGTCTAGTACCATGATTATTTTTTAAGAGTGTAGTATCCGATGTACAGGCAATAGTTATGTTAAGTGTTTCTGACGCGTTCAGAAGGTAACTAGTCATTTCGCCAACGTGTCAGTTCACGAACTGACATATAAGCGTTGGCGAACTGAATTTAGACGTTGGCGAATCGACCTCATACGTTGGCGATTTGACGTTGGCGAAACGACCGATACTCGATCAGAGTGAGAAGTCTCCTCCACCAACATTGGCTGAACAAAGATACTCGGGAAATAGATCTGCTTTTCTTTCTTTTTTTCATTCTCTTGTCCATGCTGCCAGGACTGTTTTATCGCGCGCTCTTGCAGGACCGATCTTCGTCTTTTTCTCTCCTCTCCTAATAGACGTCCAGTCTCGATTTTGCATTTCGTCGAATCCTGATTGGCTGCTACCAACGCGCCAAATTAAGCTACCTGGTAACAACAACTCGAGCATGAATTGACAGTGTGGGGCCTGGGGCATATTATGCATTCCCCCCATTTTAGATGTGTTCAGCGCTCGAACCAAGAAAGAAGAGAAAGAACACCAGAAACGAGTTCGTTTTATTTTTACGCCCGAGAGAGAGTCGCCCCTCTAATAAGGAGCCTTGATTGGTTGGCGGACAATTTGAATCATATTTTTGACGACGAAGAGTCGGAATGGCTGGCAAATATAGATCCAAGTTTATTAGATGAATCAAACGAAGAAAAACAGCTAGACGACCAGGAAATTTCTTAATTTATTGAAGGAAATAGAAACAGCAACACGTCAACGCGCCAATTCCGTTCCGCTTCGCATACTTACGTCACGCACTCCCCGTAAATAGATATCCGCGAAATTCGCCCGCACTGAAATAACAATTTGGCGTGTTGGATAATAAATAACTTATTAGACTCGTTACTTGTATTTTGACTCGCCCTTCGCGCTCGTAAAAATACGGTACAACTCGTAAAAATACTCAGTGATACTACACAACAAAACGTCTACTAAGATATATGTATTATCAATACCTGTTCGCTGTAGTGTATGGATATTTTTATGTCAATCAGTGCTGGGAATAAAAGAGTTAAAGTTCAGATCTTTTGCGATCCGTGTTAATTTTTTCCATTCCTTCGACCTGTTTTCAAATTAGACTTTTAACTCGCTTCACCCGTAAATGTATCCCGTCCCGCGGGCCAAGGGTAACGCCCGAATGTAAAATTAATGGTTCTTGTGTATCAGGAGCTCGTACAAATTTAAACTTCCTCAAAATCCTGACCAAGGCGACCTTTATTTCCATCATGGCATATTTCATTCCAATACAGTTCCTTGGACCGGCACCAAACGGGAGGAACTGGAACGGATGTCGCGCTTCCTTGGCGGGTCCCCGGAACCTCTCCGGGTCATAAACGTCGGGATCAGGCCACGCCTCGGGATCGTGGTGGAGCGCGTACACCGGTACAGTAACTTCCATTCCGGCGGGTATCGTGAAGCCTGGGCTTATTGTGCATGTTTCTTCGCATTTCCGATTAAATATGTGGAAGGGTGGACAACGCCGCATAGATTCGTTCATAACACAATCGAGATACTCAATTTCGTGGACGATATCGTACAAAGGCAAGTCGTGGTAGGTTTGAATGGCAATCTCCACCTCACACCTTAGTCTTTCTTGCACATCAGAATCCATAGCGAGGTGATAAGCAGTGAATGCCAGTGTACTGCTGGAAGGTTGGTAACCCGTCAATAGAAACGTGATCAACTGAGCGATCACCTCGTCATCGGTCAGTTTACTGGCTCCTTGAGCAGCAGGTTCATCGTGAGCGGTTAACAGGAGCTGTATCAGATCATTTCGCCCCTCAGTAGTACATTTTTTCCTTTCTTCGAAAATCTCTGTTGCGGCGCCCAGGAAGAACGTTAAACCTTGCCGAAAGAACGCTATTGTTCGCCTAAGTAAAGAACTACAAGGGAATATCGAAAGATAAGGCGTTAACCACAGCCTACGGAATAACTTTTGTGCTTCTTTAGTGACTGAGCTCTGTGGATCTGTCTGAATGTCAGTTTTGATTCCAAAAGCAGTTAACAAGATGACATCAAGGGTCAACTTGCCGAACAACTCCACTACTTCCACACTTTTTTCTGCAACAAGACAAAAAAAAAACACTTAAAGCTTAACAGAATTCCCGCAATCAAGTCGTCTATAACCCAGTATAGAAAGAGAAGATAAGGTCATAAGGATAGTTTCGAGCACGAAGCGAAATATTTTCCAATAATTTCAATTTTAAATGCACAAAATTAACTTAACCCCCTCACTCTTCTTTGTATACCGGACACATTGCCTCCCCTTACTTTACAGACTTAATGATAGCTATTTATTAACTTAAGTGTACGAGGGTAACTTAACCGCTGAAGCGGAATTTGGAGCGCTGAAGTTTCTTAGGGCATTACCGGGCCGCAGCCAGTATGAGGCGCGTCAAGGCCTTCGCCTTGTGAAAATATCGCTCGTCTAATGATTAAAAAGCTATCAAACAGTAAATCTTTAGAGCACATCTGACATAAAATCAGGTAATATTTGAGCCCGAACAAGCCTTGGTGTTTCACAAGTAAGCAGGGTAATGTGGCTATTAAAAAGCTGTGCATGTATAAAGTGATATAAAAGTGTTCTTTTGTATAGAAATAAAGTGTACTCGACAAAAACGACAACAACAAAATCAAGAAGTATAGAAACGAAACAAAACAAAAGAAACATTACAGAAAGTTTATCATCAAATATTACGCCGATATAAGCATTCTTCAGAAGCATTGATTAAATTTGCAAAATAAAATTTAGACGTCCTTTCATTAGGAATTTTCACCCAGTTTACTTTCGTATGTAAACACTGTTTCCGTTTGGAAGTCACGAGTTAATTCTCTCTTTGTCACGCAATTTGTCACGCAACTTTGTTAAACATCGAAGGGATATAATAAGTTCTAAGAGATATCGATGGGGTTTTACTACATACCTGCGTCAGCAACTTCATCTAATTTCTTCATCAGTACATTCACTGCATCGTCCATAAGTGGGATCATCTGTTTCATTTTACCAGTTGTGTACGACGGAGACAAAATGCTGCGAATTCGCTTCCACTGATTGTCCCTGGCTGCTAAAAGGCCGCAGTTAAGAGGACGAGGAGGTTTAACCTCATCCGATCGATTCCTAAAACTAGCAAATTCCTTCACTAAAATAGTCTTTAAGACCTCTGGCTCAGTGATGACAATTGTGGGCAATCGACCCAAACACACCGCGAAGATCTTCCCGTAGCGCTTCATGTTCTCCAACAACATGGCGTGTAGACCACCAAACTTGTGCACTTCGAGAATATTTCCCAAGAATGGCCATGGTTTAGGTCCAGGTATACCAAGAGTTTTGAGTACAGAAAACCGATATGTTCCACACCAGTATAGCATTAAGGCGAATGCTACCAGTGATCCGAAAGTGAAGTAGAGATAACGTAGATTTAGTTCAGTGTCCGCCATTTTGCAAACGTTACTCTCACTAGCTGTCAGCGTGTAAACAACATAACTGCTCTTAGCTTGAGAGCACATTGAAAATAAAAGAATTAATTTTCGCCATAGTATTCAGGCATCCCATAAAACAGCGGGGGATTAAAAGTAGAATCTGAGGAAATCACGCGACCTGTGGACAAAGTAATTTGAACGTGCCGGAATACAGGCAGCCCAAGCTCACTATCAGAAAAGCGGACGTGACTCGTACCGTGTTGCGCAACGTTTTATATTTATAAAGGTTTGTATGGGATGTTATCGGTTTGCCTTAAAAGAGAGAAAAAAATGTCTTGTTTTGAAATAAAATGGGCTTACCTTATTGCCTTGTTGCTTTCTTTGTTGATTCCTAGCGTCTCAGGCCATTTTGAAGCGTTTTCGGCGAGTTAGCGCTATGTTGGTGTTCAACTGCTAAAAGAAAGACAAGAATTTTCCTTCGCTGCTTCACAAAATTCACCCTTAAGCTCTTATGGGTGACTAAGAGAGAATTTCTCCTTACAATACCAATACAAAATCAAGCAGACGAGAGATGAGAATAAACAAAATTATCAGTTAGGGAATTATTAGTTGATCCAATACCAAATTCTCTTAAGTAACATTGTCATTGTATAACAGACAGTAAGGAGAATTACTAATGAGATCTTGGGAGTTAAAGGGTCCACAAACCTTTCCATCTGTCAAATCACCATCTGCTAGTAAACAGGGCTTGACATCAACTTTTCAACTTACTAAGCCAAATGGCTAGTGATAACTAAGATGTTACAACAATTTCAGATTGTTTACTAGTAAAACTGGCTGGTGGAAATCGAAAACTACTAGCCAATTTCTACTAGTCTATGGCTGATTGGCTATCGTTAGCGTCAAGCCCTAATTGAAGTTACTTAATCCAAGCAACCAAGCTCCAACTCCTACCAACACAGAAAAAGTATCTTCACATACTGAAATAAGTGTTAAATGCATGGTCATCTTTTTCTCCTGAGCTCACCTTTGTCAAGCAACTTCTTTCTGTTTACAAACCAACTCCAGCTATTGAACCTTTTGTTGCCAAGCGACCATCTTCTGTTAAACAACCAACCCAAGTCCTTACTTTTACCAAGTAACTTCCATCCTTATCTTTGGTCTTTGTACAAATGGGCATATTCAGAGCTCTAGAGTGAAATCAATAGAAGACTTGGAGGGCATAAAAAAAAAATTGTCTTATCAAGCCATCTGATTTTTTTAACTTTTTCCAACGAAGGTCCTAGTAGCCACTTGGAATTTCCTGAATAGTGTGCAATGCACTGTGGTTAATGATGTGTATGGTTGCTTAGTGCACTTGGGGTGTAGTTTTTCAGTCTTATTGCTGTTGTCTGAAGAAAATTTTGGTGAATGTCACAGATCTTCCCCATGAAGTGTTTAATCAACGGTCAACATTTTCAGAATTAAAACCTGACACTTCATTTTCTACTTCGCTTTCCTGTCTCCCTTCACTTGAAGAGTGCTCCGGCTCCAACAAGACTGAGAAAAAAAAATTCCCTTACAGAGGTAGGCCATCCCAATTTAATGTTTCGTTTCCCATCGCCCACCCTCTCTTGAGGCAATTACGTAAGTGTAATAACTACAAATTCAAATCGTTGCCTGGCAACAGTCGTCGTTCTGACGTGTGCCTAACGAACACGATGATGACGAGTACAAAGAGCGTTGTACAACTTCGTCATCATTTTTCGTTGGTCTTCTTGAGAAGGGTCGTTACTTCTTCTACGAGAAAACATTGCGAAATTCTCCACCGCTTTCGAAGAAAAAAGTCGTAAAAACATTTATCGACAATGGTAAGTAAACTTCCGCTATAGCTGATGTGTTATTGACGTAAAACTTGTGTTGATTTCAGTCGAAACGAACGAACTGCGATTAACCTCGGAACGACTTCAGCGACGGTACTTTACGCTTTAGCCGCGTTTGATACAAAGGATTTTAAGCTTTAGTTTAGGCACTTGCTTTTCATAAGTTGTATTTACTTTAATTCGTGGGACTTGCTGTTTTTTGTCATTTGTTTTAGTGTTTTTTTTTGTGAAGAAACTAAGCACTTTTCCAACCGCGCGATTTCACTTTGGGGTCTGTAAGTTAGGAAGAGGTTACGAGGCTCTCTCGCGACTCATTTTGTTCCTTCATAGCGTGAGTGTATCTCAGTTCACGTTGGACAGGCAGGAGTGCAGATTGGTAATGCTTGCTGGGAGTTGTACTGCTTGGAGCATGGAATCCAGCCCGATGGCCAAATGCCGAGCGACAAAACCATTGGAGGTGGCGATGATTCTTTCAACACTTTCTTCAGCGAAACTGGAGCTGGAAAGCACGTTCCCCGTGCCGTCTTCGTCGATTTGGAACCAACGGTAGTCGGTATGTCCGGAGATAAACCAAGTTTGAAAGATTTCATTCACGATTTCATCGAATGAGTCATGAAGTTCCCTCAAAGTCATCGTTTCAGTTTTCAGTTAGCGTCAACAAAGGGCCTGATTACATAAGCCGGGCTGGCCCTGTTAGCCGGGCTGAATTCTTTTGTTTTGGTGTTCGCCAAAGCGTGAAATCAAAAGAAATCAGCCAGGCTAACCGGGCCAGCTCGGCTCATGTAATCAGGCCCAAACTGTGAAACGCACGAATCAGCTGAATGAAATTTTATTTTTGTACAACAACGCCAAAGCAATGAAAGCAATCCTGCTGAAAAACATTGCAATCAATGAAATTACAAAAATTTCAAGGCAAAGTTAAGCTTTTTCAGTGTTTTCTAAATTTTGGTAATTGCCTGGGGCATTACCAAAAGTAATGAATAAAGCCCCCTGCCTCTTAAGCCTTTACACCCTTACATCAGTGAGCATATTCTCCATACTGTTCTCTATACATTTCCTCTGGTACTTACAAGAGAATTTTTTTAACAATCGAGAGCTTCTTAAGTTGGAGATCACTTTGTTTATTCTTCTGACCCTAATGTGTGATGATTCAGGGGTGATACTATAACGGTTTGTACAGGTCCTGGAAAACCTGAAAAGTCCTGGAATTTTATTTTGACATTTTCCAGGACTGGAAGACTGAAGGGTCTGGATAGTCCTGGAAATTTGTGGAAATCAAGCAATAAAGTTTTCAGAATTTTG